TGCAGGGTCTGGGTTATGCTTTATAAACTGAATGTAAGTCAACGAAATGTCCCCATATGTCATGAAAACACAGCTGTGTGTGTGTCAATGTGTGTATACCTGCTTACGTGGTTGATGAGGCGGGTCTGCAGGAGCAGATCTCTTCCTGGCAATAGGTTGTCACAGATCAGGTGTTGGTTGGAGCGCACCGCCACACCATTACATACACAAAGTGAACACAACACGTCTAGGACCTAGAAATCCCAACAGAACGGCGTAGCTGTTACAGCCTGAAAACAGTCATTCAAAATCTCAGGCTGATTAAGGCTAAATAAAACTTTTCTCTTTTTTACACATCAATGTAAATCTTTGAAATTTGAATCAATTATTATTTATTCTTTTAGCTTTTTATCTTATTTGAATCTATGTATTATTCTTTGATTTGTGCTTTTAAATTGAAACAAAGAGGAATCATAATATGTTTGTTTTTTCTAAATAAGTTTAATAAAATTATAAAGATAAAAGGAAAGATATACTCTTCACTCCTCTTATGCCATAAATTATGATAATAATTTGGGAAATTGGGAACCAATGTCCATATTTTAACCACTGAACATACCGGCTGCGTACCACTTTTTAATCTCCGATTTGTTTCCATGTCACACTGACTGCACATAGAGAGGCTCTGACTAGGCAGGGTGAGCAGATCAGTGCAGAATTATTTCTTGTATGCATGCCCTGATCTGTGGGCTGCTGCAAGTACATCTAATATGGCCACTAAGCGTGACTTTACGAGCTTGACTGAGTCAAGGATTGCCTTCCATGGAGTAAAAGTACCTTATGATTGCGTCCGTGCTTATCCAGAAGGGAGATGATAGATTTGATGTGTCCCTCCTTGATTATGTTGAGGGCCTCGGGGCTTTCCACCAGCACACAATGAAGCACCTCCAGGATCCCTGCAAAAATCATCATTAATTTATCATTAATGAGACAATGTGTCAGGAATCCAGTTTGTGTGGTCTGTTTTTGTGTTTCCTTTCCTCCTCCACCAGGTGGTGCCCCATCCTCATTGGGCCTCCCTGCACACCTGCGTGAATGGGTGAATGAATGTGGTGTAAAGCGCTTTGGTCAAGTCTCCTAACTTGAATAAAGGTGCTATATAAGTACATGCCATTTACCATTTACCTCGATGCCAGAGTGTTTGCCAATACTGAGTACTCTAGCCATGCCTAGTTTAGCAGAGTCTAACCTGAGTTTTTGTTTGCCAGTTTTTGGGTACTCTAGTCAAACTAAGTTTCTTGTTTTCCTGAGTTTTAATCTGGCTGTTTTTTCTTTGCCTCACGGCAGGAAGTCATCCTGCAAACTGGATGTTTCAGACCTTCTCTCCCCTGGAAGGATCTTCTGAGAACCAAACTGAGCTTAGGATTCAAGTTTGGGGTTTGGATCAACCTTTTCCCCCAAGGATTGTCTGGGGCTTCTCTCTGAGCAGGGGATTAATCTCCACAATAACCCATTCAAGGACAGCAGGAAATCTAAGTGGCAGTCAGCTTCTCCGTTCACCAAGGAACAACCGCAGTCTGAGTAAACCCTGTCCACCCTCCATCAAACTAGACAATCACTGGAACATCCCACACACACTGGATTCAATAAAGACACCTTTTTTCTGGAAACGCGAGTCTGCAACCTATTCCTCCTCTTCAAGTCAAAGAATCTAATTTCCCACTAAGCCTGAACCAACCGCAGTGTCTTTCCCTCACTTTCCAGTTCCGGTTTGACAGTGTTCAGAGCAGCAATGGACTTATCATATTATTCTAAATAAACCTGTTAAACTTTTCCCTGGTCTCTCTGTTTGGTCTTCTGCATTTTGGGTCAGATCTTTAGATAAAACCATGACACAATTAAGGCCCATTCATACCTCACGTTTGGCCTGCACGTCCGTATTTCTGTCCGTACGTTCTATCCGTTGACTCCTTCATACCTCCGTCCGTTGAGGTGCGCAATAACCCGTATGTCCTCTATGTGGCAGATTTCCGCCATTGTTTAAAGCCCAGAATTCTAACCTTCTTTGTGATTTTGTTGACATTTTGTACTAAAAACTCAATACCGCCCCCACCGTTTCCGGTAGTATTGCTCCGTATTGATCCGTTTCGTCCGTAAGCGGAAGCTCCCAATTTTCGTGTCAAAGTACGGACGAAATCGACGGTTAGAACGTATGAAACACTCCACACGTATCCGTATCCGTCTTTTACGTGAGGTATGAATGGGCCTTTAGTCAGTCAGTGAATCAATCAATCACTCAGAATGGGGTTGCATAACTCACATAACATTTATAAATTATATTTATAACTTTTTCCTACTTCTGTTTCATAATATGTATTACTTGAAAACTAAAAATTACCCAAATTCCCTGCCCAAAAT